ACCAGTCTTCCACTGCATGAAAAATTCAAGATGGCGGCTAAACTTTTTACGATGTGAGCGCTCGCTCGAAAAAATCTCGCCTGCTCTGCAGGCTATTTCTATTCCTAGGGCAACCCACTCTTTTCCATTCCCCTCTAGCCTGATTTCAATATTTTAGTGATTTTAAGCTTGGAAAACATTAAACAAGGCCATGAACTAAACCTAATGGATGGTGCAGATGAGGCACCATCGGCAAATATCAACATAGAATACTTAAAGTGCTCAGTAAAGCCTTTAACATCGTGGAAGTCTGGAACCTAGAATGTTGCCATGGTAACAAAAATTGTTACGTTCATATTGCGGAGCACCTCTAGTAGAACCTTACTGTAAAAAATCAAACAATTGACTGAGATATCCTTGTTTATCATATTTTATCAAAATTCGGCTGAGTGTATGACGTCATCACTTAGTTAATTTGCATATTTTAAAAACTTGAATATCTTTGGCACGAAAAGAGATATTTGGAAACAGTAAACAGCATTTTTACTCCTGCACAGACTACTTTTTTATGTTTTAAAATGGCTCAGATTTGAATGATGCGATTTTAGTCATAGTAGCACTTTAACGGAGGTCACTCCAAAACACGTATATCTCTCGTCAACGCTAATAGAAACCTTGCACTGAGCTTAGCCACGGACGGAAGTTTCTGCATCTAAAGGGCAAGTTTTCCTTGTGAAATTCACCTCCAAAGAAGCCTAAAATTCGAACATCGTTGCCGCCATTTTGAACAGTACTCAGCAGCAAGGCCGCGTTTTTGTGACGTCAATCCGTCCGAGAGATTTTGTCCAAGTGGCTTCCGACGAGCCCTTTAACTACCAATCTGGGTTATGGCTGCTCTTGAGCCATATTATTTTGAGCCAAACATGCTCCAAACTTCGAAATGATAGCATTGAAGATAGTGATGTGGATAATCGCTTGGAAAAAATAGATTTTGCTGGCCTTGTAAAGGATGCCAAGTCAGTTGCAGGTTTTTCTCCTTTCGCCAATTTCGAGTCGGACGGAATGACGTCACATAAACACGGCCTGGCTGCCAATGGCGGCCTCCGAAGTCGCTTCTTTCGAGGCGAATTTTGTCAGGATAGCGGTCACTTCGGAGGCTGAAACGTCGGTGAGTGGAAAAGCGGAATAATTACTTGATATAGATGAAGACGAAAAAGAAGTAAGCATTTTGGAGTGATCTTCTCCTGTAAGTTATTTTTAGATCACTCCCGTGCGATTTCGGATCCAAACATTACTGGTGCGTCTACAAACAGCCAATCACGTGAGACGCAGTTTACCCACGTGGTCAGCTCAAGGGACTGGATATCATGTCTAAAAATAACTTGAGAGAGATTACCTTTGGAATAAGGCCTACTGTAAACTGCCGCTTATAAGCCTTAGGCTTATAATGAACTCCGTAAAGGCTTTAAGATGGGCTTATAAACGGAGGGGCTTATGTCCGAGGGGGCTTATAACCGGAATAAGAAAAACCGTTTCGACGCGAGCTAGAGCTGCACGGGTTGATCGAAAAAGGATTTTCATTTACTGGTAATTACGCTTTAAAACCTCATAATGAAACAAATTGAAAACAAGGGAAGGTAGAGGGGGGCTTACCCCCGGGGCAGCTTATCGCCGGAAGTGGTTTTTTAGTTTACAGGTAGATGGGGCTTATTCCCCATTTCCACATACCCCATAATACACCTTATTTGCCCCCCATAGTTCTGCATAACCTTTGTTTCCCATTTCTCCTGGATATTAGAGTCGTCCCTAGAGAAACTGAAGACAATGCTAACGCAAAATTTTGGGGGGCAAACGATGAGTATTATGGGGGATGTGGAAATGGCAAATAAGCGGCAGTTTACGGCATATGAGGGATGAACTCGTTTACCCTTAATCCTCTCTCAGTGACATAAAATTAGCTACAATTATATTATCTCACTGCACGAAGAATAGCGCACGGGGTGAAGGGTTTATTGTTCATCACAATGAAAACCATTTAGTGACGGCAAAGGAGTGTCAGTGGTCTACGAAGAATCCGGCAATCGTGGCTTCACATGACGCTTCACATGTTGATTGGACAAAAAGTGACAGAAGTATTTGTTTACTCAAGACCGAACATTACTTCCCGTCTTACTCAGAAAGCGAAAGCAATTAAAATGGCGACGGGCGGAAATGTACCCGAGCAAGGCGGGTATGATTACGAGTTTATAAGTAAAGTTCCCGAGGATTGGCAATGTCCTGTTTGCTGTTTACCGTTGAAAGATCCTGTGCAGATTGTAGGATGTGGACACAGACTTTGTAACATCTGTATGGAATCCTTGTTGAGGTAAACGATCAGTTTTGCATAATCCAAGCATCATATCTCTGAGAAGCCATGCTTCAAAAGATGCTTGGGTTATCCTTATGTATATGTAAGAAAACTTAACAATATTATCGGTAAAGGTGACGGTTGATTTATCTTATATTCGGTGTGTTTTCCGTTGGGTCTTTCAAGAAAGAGTTTCAACTTAATTTGAATGTGTAATTATGAGCAACGAGTTTTGTTTGAAAGGCATGTACCCGAAACAACGTCCGAAGCGACTGAAGCGAAACCGCAGAAGCCACTAAAACGGGAAAAAGAAACAAAATCACCGAAATAGGTGAAACCGTTATTACTATTCGGAGCTTACCGTGAACAGACCAACCGGAATGTTGTTCAGGCAATTTAACAGAAGTGCAAGCAGAATGTGGACACATTTATTATGCGTTCCACTCTGTGACTTTATATGCCCAGCATTCGGAAAGCTATTTAACTTGCAAATCGTTTGAGCTTGGGCATGCTGAAATATCATAATGCACAATAATTATTTCGATCAGACTCACGGCTATGGTTTCTTACAGACTAAATGCCACGCAGTCGGAAATTGTTACAAAATTTCGACGAAACGACTGATTGAAACAAGTAGTCTATCGTTGTTTAGAAATGCTCAGTGGTTCCAAGGATTATTTTGGTTTCGCAGTTAAGGAATTTAAAATTGCATGTTTGCGACACTTCTGTAACAATTTTAACTGCCGGAAAACTCTGACCAAACTGAGGGTACGCATATGTAGTGACGGCCCAACCTCGTGATATTCGTAAACTAAAAAATTCGGTATACCTGACATTTCTGAATACACATAGAATACTCTTAGGAGGCTTGAATAGAAGTCTTTCCGTCGAAATTCAGTATCGATTTCTGACAGTATGACCATAAATTTTTCAAACCTCGAGAACATGGCAATCCTATAGTATGTAATTATGGATTGGGAAATTCGTCGACTAGAAAATCAACATGATCTTTGGAATCCCTTGGAACTTCAAAACTAACATTTGATACTCTCAACATTTGATACTCTCAATGATTGGAGGTCTCCTCTTAAAATATTATGTATTATTATTATTATTATTATTATTATTATTATTATTACTATTATTATTATCAAGAGGTTTAAGGTAGTTCGATACAGTTTTTTTCTGAACCATACCTAGCATTTTCAATTGGCGTTTCACCAACCTTCCCGTAATTTGATCGATGTGAAAATTACACCAGTTTTTGGAAGAGGATTGGAGTTTGGTTGAATATGCTTTTTAAGGTAATCGATATTTCCATGGAAACGATAAACCAAAAAAATGAAACTCGGTAAAGCACGAATTTTGTTCGAACCAAATCTTTTGTAGAAAAGCTGATGCCAAATTCTGAAATTACAATGTATGGCAAAGAGAATAAGCAAGAATAAAAAAAAATTCTGTATGTTTGATTTCGAATAAATCGCGAAAACATTTCAAACCATGCTTTTTGTTTAATAAAATATAAATGAACTGAACGGAGAACACCATTTTGATGAAATTGCTACAAAACACACCAAAATGTGCCTTGAAGTTTTGTTTTGAAGCCATGAAAGTTTTGTTCGTCTGTGTTTTCTTGATCTCGAGAACGAGACTTTTTCTCAACATCACTTCCATAATAAATTTAGAACAATTTTCGATTTTAAGCACTTTTTCGAAAATCTTAAAAACGGCGAGATAGATTTTCTTAAAACGTTTACCATGTATACCTGATAATGTTAACAATTTTATTCCAACATTTCATTAGCATTGATACATTGGAACACTTTTAAATTTGTCGATGAAGCTGGCGCTCGAACCCACGAAAACGTGCGTTACAAAGTGCGTTACAAAATCCGGTAGCATTTCCGCTCGTCGCCATTTTAATTTCTTTCGCTTTCTGAGTAAAACGGGAAGTAATGTTTGGTCTTGCGTGAACAAATTCATATTTGAGCTGCGGTTGAAGATGAAAGTGAAGAATGATCATCGCAGTAAATTTTCCAACTTAAGCAGTTGAAAAGAAGAAGCCTGAAAAAATCAGGGCTTCAACGGGATTCGAACCCGTGACCTCCGCGATACCGTTTCAACCGCAGTTCAAATATGAATTATTTCATATATACTTCACATCATTTCACTCCTCACGGGGAGATATGATCTCAATTAATTGACCTCGCTCCCAATGCGTGGCTTCATAGCTCAGTTGGTAAAGCATCGCAACGGTATCGCGGAGGTCACGGGTTCGAATCCCGTTGAAGCCCTGATTTTTTCAAGCTTCTTCTTTTCAATTGCTTAAGTTGGAAAATTTACTGCGATGATCATTCTTCACTTTCATCTTCAACCACAGTTCAAATATGAATTATTTATACATACTTCACATCAAAAAGAAAAATTATGCTAAAAAATTCAGATCTATTCTCGTCCATTACATTATATTAAAGACGCAACAACACTTCCCCGCATACTTCGACGATCGAGTAAAATTCTTATAATTATGTACATTTTCTTTGTTCAGGAGCCCTTCACCGACATGTCCAGCAGACAGACAACCTTTGTCGCGTGAGAAGGTGAATCAAAGCACAAAGCTTTACATAATAAATAAAGAAATAATAAGAAATCATTACGTGAAGTAGATTTAGTTAGAATTTTACTAAAACTATTAGAGTACTACACACCTCGAGTTCATAATCCGATTGTTGAATGAAACAGGCGTGGAAGTTTGAGAGAACTTGAAATGCTGCTTGTTTCCACAGCTTTTCTGATTTCTCCCAAACTTTCTCAAATGGGGAGAACTTGTTTTCTATTTCTTTTAGAAAACACGGTGGGGAAAAGAAAGGAAAATAACTCGTTTATTTCGGATTTGCTCGCACCATCATTAGGTGAAACGATTGAACTAACTTTGTGCAAGAGATTATCAAGGTATGAGAGAGAATCCCCTATATAGGCCTTATAACCAAGGTCATCCCTCTGAAGTTATTTTTAGACATGGTACCCAGTTCTTCCGAGTTTGTTACTTGCGCGAAGTGTGGACAGCTGAAGCGACTTTCTGGAAACTGCCCGTCATTTTATAGCGGAGCTCCGGCGGCCCGAAGGGCCCTCAAGCAGATCCCCATACCCATATAGGAAAGAAAAGGAAACCCATGAATTGATTTCTCTTGGTTATCATGGCCACCGGTATTGCACATGTGCGCGTACGTACGACGACGACGACGGAGTCGCGCAAGATGGCGGCCATACTCCAGCTAAAAGGTTGACAGAACATACAACCATGATTTGTAGCCTCCTTCTTTAATATTGGACACCCATGTTATGGTCAATTGACACCTGTCAAATCAAGGTATCCGCTGACCAGTGCCACGTAACGAAATCGCGGGCTCACGTTTAGAGCCGATTGAGGTCACGTGTTTTTTAAAGTTGACCGCTGACCAAGTACTGGTTTTTCTATTGGATCGCGGGCTCATGTCAGATGAACTTATTTTAACGGGGCCAAGGACTTAAGTTAACAGAAGTATAAATAGTCCTTGTATACAAATGTTTTTTGCTGCTTTTTTGTGTATTTTTGGAAACTTTGCACTCCTTTGTCTAAACATTTCTCTGCCGTTCATTCAGTTGTTATTTTTTGTGTAGGGGACATCCGTCTCTTATTTAAACTCCTATTTAAGTTTCGAAATGTATTAAAACATACCGAGGGGCGAAGCTCCCATGCTTGTAATCAAAGTATCAAAGAAGACATCCCCACAGCCTTGGAGGTTTTCCTTTGCTTTGAAACGAAACGAGACGAGACAACATCAACAGATCCTCCTCGAAAACATCCACGCAACGCACAAGTAATCAGTCCGCAGAAGAACAGGGTACAATGTCTAAAAATAACTTAAGACGGATTACCTTTGGTATAAGGCCTATATGAGGGATTCACTCTCTTACCTTGATAATCTCTTGCTTTGTGTTATTGTGAAGAAGGGCTTTTGACAAGTACTTTCTTACATGGTACTTTCTTGGGGGAGTTAAGAAAGGTCTTTTGGGAGGGGTGGTGATGGAGTGAATGGGTGCTTTGCTTACGATAATTGATAAATTATCACAGATTTCTGTTGTAACTGCTTACATTAACTTTTTAAGTTCTTCGCAAACTCATAATTAATTCATTAACTTTAAACAAAGGAAATCATGACTGTGACGGTGTTTGGACATTATTTCTCCGTTTTCTCCTTAGTTTTAGTCTCGATTGAGAAGATATATCAAAAACTCAAGACAGTGTTTGATCGCATTTCCAAATATCTCGACATTCGTCAAAAATACTCCGCTGCGCGTCATATTTTCAACTCTCTTCTCGGTGTTTGGCAATGTGGACAAACACGGTCTTTCGTGTTAATACATTATGTCTAAAATCTCATTTGGTAATTTTCAATTCAATTCAATTCTTTATTGGTACTATAAGGACATTTACACACATTTACACTCATCTTGGTAAACTAATGAAAAAAGTAAAATATTAAGAAATATTATGAGCTGTAAAGAAACAAAATTCATAGGTGAGCGGTGACCGCCAAAGTAGCAAAAGCTTTTTGGTTGGATACCGCCACGGTCAAGTAAATGGCAGCATAAAAGTTCAACCTACATAGACTACATTACAACCAACATAGGTTATATATACTTATAGACCCACAAAATAAAACAACAAAATAAAACATAGCAACAGCAAAATCAAATTTGATTATTCAGAAGGTGGCAGTGTACTCTTTCGTAAAGATATTGTTGAACAAACACTTAATTCTAAAGGGTGCAGTTTCCCAAATCTTTGAGCCAGTAAACCTATAGGTTAACTTACCCATATATACCTCTTACTAAGTGAGTTCGAGGGCCGTACTGTAAGTTACGGACCAAGTTTTTCCCCCATCGATTTATCGCCCAAGCGCAAAGCGCGCGGGCCATAAATGAAATGGGGAAAATGAGGATCCGTAACTTACAGTACTGAACGAGAAGACCAGGTTAGTAAGATATTCATTACATCTCTACTGTGTGTCTGCCGGGTTTGGGAACGATTTCTATTCACGCGAAACGGCTTCAAATTTCTGACACACGTCAGAAGCAAAACACGTCAATTTGAAATCATTGTTAAGTGGCTCTCAAGTCGTTAGCAGGTTTTAATACACAACGTTAGAAGTCAAAGAAAGTTTTAAACTTTTACTCGCTGTAAAAGTTAAGAACACTTGGTGTAAAGTAGAATACGCCCCGCTAAATTGACCAATCACAGCGCGCGTACTAACTACTCTTGGCCTAAAACAAATCGAGGTTGCCAGCATATCTTGTGTTATATTTTTATTTATTATATTGCTCTGTCTCACAAGGCCTGGAAACTACCAAATTCACGAATTTGATTGGCTAAAATCGATATTGAAAGTGGCCTAGACTTTCCCATCTAGACCGGCATCTAGACCGGTAATGTTTTGCAGTGAAAAAGTTGCAAACTAAAATGCAAAATCGTTGACTATTTTCATCTAACAATATTTATTTATGGAAGTGCCAAAAAGCATGATAAGAAAAAAGAGTAAAGAGGACGAGCAAACTTTGACAAAATTAAATTCAGCTCATCGCCCCTCGCAAGCAAAATGTCAGTTAGTCAGGTTAGTACAAGCCAGTCACATTAAACGAATTAAATTGTTTTTGTTTGCGCCATATAATAAACATCTTATTAACCAAGCTTAGTCGGTCTGTATGGGAGAATCTTGACCTTGGTCGTGTGTACAGACCGAACGCAGTGAGGTCTGTACTCACGACATCGTTCAAGATTCTCCCATACAGACCGACTAAGCTTGGTTAATGAGAGCTAAACAATGTTTGCTGGAGTCAGCACTGATATCAGAAAAGATATCCGGAACGCAATCAGTTTCAGTCCTATTCTTATGTAAAAGGCAACTTTTTTAAATTGTTCTTCTCTTTCCTGCATCAAATTTTGATGATGGAAGATATTCCCAGATACCGGTTGCCATCGCCAGATTCTGGATCTTACCGTGAAATGTCCTCATTCTGGATGTTCATGGACAGGAGAGCTGCGTGCTGTGGAGGTATGTTCTTCTGCTTTGTGGTTGTTGCTGTTATTTTTTTAATTTTATTTTCTTTCATTTGTCTATTTTTTTATTAATTGCTACTTACACTGCTTACAATACAATATTGATGTAGTTACTTACACTACTTACACTACTTATTACTTACGCCACTTACGATACTAACACTTGCACTACTTATATTACTTACAATACAATACGTATACTCACGCTACTAACAATACTAATACTTACACTGCTTACAATACAACATATTTAGATTACTTGCGTTGCTTACTTAGAATTGTTTTGTTGCTGTTGTTGCTGTTGTTGCTGTTTTAGCTTTTCAAAGAATCGCAATACATTTTTTGTGTATGTTTATTGTGGCCGATTCTAACCAGTTAGCACTTCAATGCAATTTTCTTGTTCCGTCTTAATCCAGTTCAGTTTAAACCATTTCTAAGTGTGCAGCTTGTTTGCAGCCTGTTTGTTTGTGTATTTATACATGGATCTTTTTACTATCTCAAATACTTTTAACTTGTCAGCTTTGTTTAGTCCCCATGACAACCAACAAACGCATTGTCTGACATTCAACCTCGACAGCGCCAAATGTGGACATTTTGCATTGCATGCTGCACGCTCCATGCTAACTGTCTGTCATATTTAAAAGTTTATTTATTTATATTTCAAGGAACACCAGTCAGCATGCCCTTTCAAAGTGGTCAAGTGTCCAAACTCAGGTTGTACAAAGATGCTCACAAAGCGAGACATGAAAACTCACGAGACATTAGAATGTTCTTGGAGGAAAGTGAACTGTGAACATTGTCAAGAATCAGTCATCATGAATTTGAAACAGGTTTGTAACTGGCTTATACTCGCTGATCTTGAATGCCCGACAGCCGAATGATAGCAAATGGCTGAAAGAGTGTATCCAGAGAGAGATAGATGATGTAAGATGATTTAATATCGAGATACATATTGTTTTCCCTGAGAGGTCGAGAATGGGAGGTTCGATCGTTAAACTGTAGTTATGTCAAAAACACTCAACATTTTCTTAGGTCCCGTCCACACTACGCCGGAGAAATTTGGAAACTGCGTTTCGATCCCAGTCTGGAAACACATCAAATGTTTTCTGTCCACACTAGCAGAGGGATAAATGTTTTCGGTTTTCGGCAACAATTTTCTTCTTTTGTTTCAAACACATGTAACAATTTTAATTTTAACGGTTATTCCCCTTTTAGGAACACGTTACATCAGTTCCAATGTGATGAATTGTTATAGTTCGTATACTCGCATACTCGCTACGTTTTACGGAATTTTTGAACATACGTTTTTTTTGTTTTTTTTTTTTAATGTGTGTCGCTTCCCAATGGATCCCAACGTGTTTTGTTTGAACTAAATTGAATTGCAGCTTGTAATTGCTCCAATCAAAAGCGAATAGTCAACACATCTTTTGCTTCATGGTGGCCTTTTTAAATTTTAAATACGTGGTCATCTGAGGTCTGCGAGGTTCTCGTGACATCCGATCGTGATCGGTTTCCAAACATTTCTCGGTTCCAGACCTCGCACCAGATGACCGCATATTACAATTCACAATAAGCACCATACAAGATCTTTCGAATCTTTGGTTCGTCCTCTGATTTGATGTAAGGACCCGCTGTGTGGTGGTGGATCTACCTTTTTGTTAAATAGCCGTGTCCCCCATTTTTACTGTGAAAGGTAACAAAACTTAATCCGTACCACGCGTCGTTGGTCTATGTTTCGGTTTGGTTTCTGTCTTAGTCATAAATTGTGATTGTGTAACGTATTATCTGCAAAATAAGCAGTTTTTAAGATAAAC